TTCTTACAGTTTATGTTAGTCTCCCCTGATGATTATAAAGCACAGCTTAAATGGATTCCCGTTTTAGGCTACTTAGTTTTGGAAGTCAGGTTCCTAATAATTGTTAAATATTATTACAGTGGACAAAGTGAGGGAGGGGGAGTGTTTTATGAGCAGTAACCTGGGGGGATTTCAATGGATAGACTTGTCTCTGGCTGCTGATTAATATGTTATACCATAGAAATATCCTCTCTCCTTCAGATTTGCCTATGCGAATCTCCGGATTTTCTTTACTTTTCTCATACTGACTTGACTAATTTGCCTCTGATACTTTTTAGGATTTAACTTAGAATCTGTCCCTCTGTAGTTTATACAGAGTTGAGAGGTCTCAAATTCTAGAAGGTTACTTCCTAACCATCTTATTTAGCTAGTTTGCTATAAATTTCTGCCATCACAAACCGGAGGATGTTAGAAGTCAGGGGGAAGGAACAAAATTCCCCCTCCCTCCCATCATCCCAATGTTCATTTTCCAAACAGAGCAGCCAGTTCCCACATCACAGAATGAGCATGGTTTGTGCTTGGCTTTAGTAGTTACAGCTGTGGGTGCTGCCTCTTCACCAGTTAAATCTACAATACTCCCCCTGCCCTCCCCTCACACACAGAGTTTTTCTCTCTAGGTAAAAGCACTGGACCTTCTTTATTTTTATTTTTATTTTTATTTTTTGTCTTTTTGAGACAGGGTCTCGCTATGCAGTTCAGGCAGGCCTTGAGCTTACTTTGTAACACAGGCTGGTCTTGAACTCTCGAAGATCCTTTTGCCTCAGACTCCTGAGTGCCGGGATTACAGGCGTGCGCCACCATGCCTGGCAACACTGGACCTTCTTGATAGATGCTGTAAGCTCCTACACTGTAGTAAGCTTTCCTTTTGGTTTACCAGCCCTAAGGCAGGCAGCTTCTTCCTCCACTAACCTCTGACCAATCTTACATGAACTCTAAGTTCTTTGAGCATTACTCTACTTGCAAAAACAATTTTCTACATTAAATCACTAGGTCAAAATTCCCTAAAACAAAAGTTATCTGAATTTTCATTAAAAAGTTCCACTCTATGTTTAAGTTTTATATAAATATTTAAATCAGTTTAGAGATAGGGGCACACATGGTACCCAAAATGAAACAATGGAAGCCTAGTTATTTTGTAAGATGATCATTTTCCCTTAACAAACAAAAGAAATCTATATTTGAAAATCAGAAAAGGATTTGACCTCAGCAAGCATCATCAATGTCTTATCAGAAGCAAACAGATAAGAATTTTGAAAATGCAAACTGGGTCTGATTAACACCCAGTATAAAGAGGTGACTTATCCTTGCATTAAGGAAATTAATCTGCTACACAGCAGCCCAAGTCGCACTGGCCCAACATCCAGATTGTGATCCTGAATTTCTCAGTATTTACGTATCTCTAACTACATCGTTTTGTTATAAGCAAATTATCTTACCTTCTTAGGGTCCATGGCCCTCTTTACATTTCTTGACATAGAAATTTAATAGATAGAATAAGTAAGTGACCAATAAGGCCTGTGGGTCTGTATTAAATGCAGCACTGTGAGGTAGTGTAGCACTATGGTTCAGTAGCACTGATCACAAAGAACTGTTGCATCCATTCGTGCTGAAGGTCTACCTCCAAATGTCTGAGTTGTCTTAGCAATCTACTAGAGTTCTCTTTTTCTTTCTTTAAATTCTTTCAATTTTCTGTTATATGTTTATGGTGCATGGTAATTACATGCATATTGGAAATTGGCTCTATGTGTGTGCACATCGCATCTGAATCATTTTAATTACCTTTCACCTCCACCCCCTCTCCTTCTCCAGCTCCTCTTCCTTTGTCTGATATTAGAAATACTATGTGATATTAACCTTCTAGAGACATAGAAGACTCATTTCACTCACTATTTTGTCTTAGATCCAACAATTTTTCCCACAAATGGCTCAGAATTATTCTTCAAGTTTGAATAGTATTCTAGGGTGTATGTGTATAACACACCTTCTTTATTCATTCACCTGTTGTTAGGAATATAAGCTGCTACCATAATTTAGCTATTGTTATGGTCTGTGTCTAGAAGTCCCCCAAAGCCTCATGGTCTTTTCAGAGGTTGTTGAATCTAGAGTTTGTGATTGATTGATGATCCAGTGCTGGGATTGAGGGTGTAAGTGCTACACTCATCCTAGAATGGGTAGCTTGCATACAGTATAAGGGACAGGAAGAGACTTGTCCACTCTTACCCTTTATTGCTTTGCTACCTCTGTCCACCATGAACTGTTGCCTCTCTGCCTTGGATCCAGCTAATTATGGACTGAAGCCTCCACAAACTGTGAGCTAAATAAACCTTTCATTTTTTAACTTCGAGTGTCAGGTATTTTGTCTCAGTAATAAGAAAGGTAACTAAGTGAGCTACTGTGAGTTGTGGTGCTATAAATATGGATATGTATATATCACTGTAATACAGTGGCTTTAACTTGTTTGGGGTTTACATTCCCCCAACAATGTGGAAGGGTTTCTTTTACTCCTCAAAGAATTTGCTGCATTTTTTAATTCTTGATGGTACCCACCTTATGATAGAATCTCAGTGCTGCTTTGGTTTGCATTTCCCTAATGTCTAAAGGTGGTGAGTGTTTTTCATGTTCTTATTGGCCATTTTTATTTCTTCTTCTGAACAGTGCCATTCATTTCAATTTCTCATTTTTTCACTTGGATTTTTATTTGGGGGGGGTCTAAAGTTTTTGTGTTCTTTATGTATTATAGATTTTAGTCCATTGTTAGAAAACTAGCTAGCAGAGTTTTTAATTTTTAATGATTCTGTGAATTGTCTCTTGCCTTTGTTAACTATTTTTGCTGTACTGAAGCTTTTTAATTTGATTAAATCCCACTTGTTGATTCTTTACATCATATCTTGTATGATTTTAGTTATGTTCATGAGTCTTTACATATTCCTTTATCTTCAAGAGTTTTATGCTTTTTTTCTTGCAGCAAAGTCAGTGTTTCTGTGTTTATATCTAGGTGTTTGATACATTTTAATTTGATTTTAGTACAGGGTATATGATATAGATGTAGAGTTGTTCTTATGCATCTGGATAACTAGATTCTTTTAGAATGACCTTTTCCCAGGCATATGTTACTGGCCCTTTTGTCAGAAATCAGTGTCGGAAGGTGCTGGGAGTTGTTTTCGCATCTTTTATTATCTTCATTGATTAGAATTTACGTTTTTGTTTGAGTACCATGTTGTTGTTATTAATCAGTTCCTTATACTAAAAACTAGTATCTGGCCTGCAAAATTGTTAGGAGAGCTTAATGAAGAGTTACATTCAAATAGGCATGGGTTCATGCAGTATTCAAAATAATGAATAACTGAAAATATTCTATACATTTATCTTACATGTATATCAGGTTCATATTTCTATAAATATATAAAACAGTTGAATCACTATAACATATTTCAATAATTGTTTTATCTCTACAATATGACATAAATGTAAAATAGAATTCTCAAATAAATAAAATTGGAAGTGGCACAATATTAAAATAACAGAGGAAATAAATTTTAATAGGATACACAGAAGTTAAAATACTAATTATTTTATAGGAGTACATATAAGTACATTAACATTTGATTCTGCAAAGTAACAACCACTGTTGATTTGTATTATTTTGTCTTGAGACACTGTATCACTTTGAATTTTCTTGCTTTGATTTGCTTATGTTCATGATACTGGTATACTGGTACTGTTCTATTTTTTGTTTGTTTGTCATATACTACTCTCTTTAAAATAAAAAAAATTAAAAAAAAATTTGATTCTGTATATTTTGATCTTCCATGTAGATATTTTGTTAATACAATTCACAATTTAATAATGAAATAACAGTTGTTTCCTTTACATGAAGGAAATGAGAAATATATATGTTTACCTTATGAAGATGAGCACTTCTCTCAAATGTGCAGGAAATATTCTCAAAAATTGATTATATTTAACTTCTCCACATATATGCATTGTGAGCATTAACAATGATTTGTCAACTACATTAAAATTAAACAGCTCCATAACAATTAGGAAAGTATGCTCCCACATTGATAGATCACAGCAGCATGGAATTGGGTACTATATTGTCCCTCGGCCCTTCTTTTCTGCCACTGCTCTCCTGCTATGCTACCAGGATAAAATGAAGCATTTTTCTCCACCTTGATCTTCTTCCATGAGGTTTCCTTCTTGAATCCTACTGACCATGTGCTGAATCTCATGAAACCATGAGCTTGATGAAACATTTCTTCTTTCAAATTGTGGGTTTTGGCTATTTAGTCTCAGTGGTAGGAGTAGTGTTGTTATTACTACATCTGACAATATTCTTTAGTAACCTTGTAATGAGTTTCTGACAGGATTTTGTGCAGTTTTAGAGATATGGGTTAGAGAAACCTTACAAGCCTATAAACAGCATCGTGAATTATTCCCACTGGAGCTCAGAAAACCAGGGTGCTTATAGAACAGTGAAGACCAAGCTCAGAAGTTATAGCTGGATAAAGGACTTTACTGGCAGTTAGACTAGAGAACATCTGTGTTATACACTGGTAGAAATGTGACTACAGTTTTCCCATGTCCTGATATTTTGCAGGAGACTATGTTTAATGGCAGTGGACTAGTTACGCAGGAAAAGGAAATTTAAAGACATACCAACATTCAGGCTGTGGCATGGGTAATGTTGTCTAATTTTAGCCAGATTTATAATGAGAATCACAGGCAAAAAGAAGAGAATAACTATTTGAAAAATTTAACTTTTGGCTCAGAAGAACTGTGCATAATGATGGTGTCAAAGAAGTGTATGTGCTGAAGAGATGAGCACAATTAAAAAGAAATCAAATACTTTACACACATAAAAAGAAAGATGCTTTAAGGATATCTCAGAAATCAGCAAGATCCACCCATTCTTGCCTCAAGGGTACAAAAGTATAAGCTTTTTATTTTTTTTTTTACAGAATCTCTGGAGCACTGCTCAAGAAGGGGCTCCTTGAAAATTGGTTCTCCAGCATTCATTTCACTCTGCACAGCTATCTAGGTACCCAAACCTACTGCATCTATATCCTAAGGGGTCTTATCTAAAGCTGCCATGACAGCAGGCCTTGGCATAATCCATGCAATGCTATTCCTACCAGCATACAGAGCAATAGATGTGGGGTCAGGGAGGCATGAGAGGTCAGGCAGTGTATCCCTAAAAGGGAAATACGACAGGCTGTGAGAGTGAAGCAAAAAGTGCAGTGGAGACTGCAGAAAATCAGAGATGCTAAGAATGTGGAAGGTCCACCAAGGAAAGCTGCAGGATGTGAGTGGACATAGATCAAGAGAGGCTATTTGGGGTACAACCTGCAAAGTGATATGAGTGGGGCCGCCCACACCTTTGAGTTTACATTTATCACCGTGTGCCCCAAAATGTCAGATTGGGAACTAAAAGAGCTACTGTTTGCCTGCTGGATATCAGATTTGCTTTGGTCCAATTCTTTTCTGCCCTCTCCTATGGAATGGGAATGTTTAGCCTGTACCATTGTACTTTGTGATTATGTAACTTATCTTTTTATTTTTACACAGATTCACAGCTAAGAATTTGCCTGGGGTCTCACAAGAAACTTCAAATTTGAAAATTGTTAGAACTGTTGAGACTTTCTGAGAGGAACTTTACCACTTTGTGTACAGAAGAACTGTAGTATGTTAGTTAAATTTATGAACTTGATTTTGTCTGTATTTGGAGATTACATTTTAGTTAAAGAGATGTATTTGCTGTGAAGTTGTAAAGGCAGATCATTAACCCAATATGTCAACTTCACTGGATTATGATTTCATAATAGTTTACATTTTCAGAAAATTAGTAAGGCAAGATCCTATGTGTGTGTGTCTGTTCAGGTCACAGAGGTGTGAGCTTAGATATGACATATGTGCCTAACCTACTCTTCCCTGCTGCTATTGCCCTGCTTAGCTTTTTGGCAACCATGGTGTAAGCAGTTCTGACTTTCCTTACCTTCTGCCATGAGATTTTTCTGCCTTGGTGCAGACTGACCATGTACTGAATGTTCTGAAATGTGAGTTCCATTAAATATTTCTACTTTTAATTTGTGGGCGTCAGGTATTGTATCCCTGCTATGAGAAACTGATTAACACATGTATCTTACTCTAAGTACTTGTCTAATTGATGAGATTCATCTAGCATCAATGTGATCAGAGACACTATAAAAGCAAAATAAAAATTAAATTTATAGCTTTTTTCTATATAGCACAATAATCATTAGATATAGAGGGAAATGAAAGCATGGGTAACTGCTTATTTACACACTCTTCTTATAACAAAAGTTTTAAAAATACAGAGTAAGCAGTATTTTATAGCTTAAAAGTTTCAGTTGGTATAAATAAAATCAATCTTCACCTCAAATTAAGAGAAAACACATGGGAGAAAAAAATAAGTCATTCTTTTAGCAGGAAAATGACTATCTTAGAAGAATATCAACAAAGTTATCAGATTGGAAAAATCTATATTTTCTAGAAAAACCTACACTCCTACCTAAGGATAATATAGGTAGTTATACCACAGATTCAAAAGAATTACATCATATGAAGCAGATTATTATAACCTTATGAGTTTTTGATATTAAAAATAAAGTTTTTTTAAGAAACTACTCAATAGGAAATTTCTATGATTTACTCCGCAAGAGCTAGGAACACATATTAATTTCCCTAAAAAAAAACTAAAATCTTATCAAAATTTATATTCAGTTGGAAACCTAATGGTCTCAAGAATAAATTTTAATAAACAGTAACAAAATGTAAAATATATTACAGTACATATAATACAAAATAATTCTAAACTTCATGAATGAAGTAATCATTGAGTTCACAGGGCAAAGGATAGGCCTAAACTAGTTTTACAATCAAATTAATAAAGATATCCAACTAAAAAAGATATAGATTCTATTTGTCATAGTTTGTGTCTAGTTGTACCCCCAAAGCCTCATGAAGTCATTGGATGAACTTCTAGAGTTTTTGATTGATCCATGGTCTAATGCTGGGATTATGGGTGTGAGTACTACACTCGCCCTGGGTTGTGTAGCCTACGTACAATATAAGGGAGGGAAGGAGGCTTGTTTGTTGCTCCTTCCTTTTGCTTTTGTTGCTTTTGCTGTTTTCCATTGCCATGAACTACTGCTCTCTGCCATGTGCCACTCTGCCTTGGAGCCAGCTGAGGATGGACTGAGACCTCCACAAACTATGAGCTAAATAAACCTTTCCTTCCTTAATTCTGGGCACCAGGTATTTTGTGTCAGCAATGAGAAAAATGTAACCAAGGCAATATTATAAATATAAGTAAAGAAGTCTCAGTGGTAATAGTTTTTGAAATCAAACAAAACATCTAAAATGTATACTGACCAATTGTATAAACCTAGGAATAAAGGGAGATTCAACATTAAAATGTTATTTTTAATGCCTTATGCTAAGGTATATAATATCAGTAAATACTACAGTGCATTACATACTTCATATTACATATTATTAGTATTTTTGTCTCAAAACCTACAAACTACACAATCCCTCTTTGTTAGTGACTTTTCTCACTGCTGAGACATAATACTCAACACTCAGAGTTAAGGAGGAAAGGTTTACTTTGGCTCACAGTTTGTATGGGTTTCAGTTCATCATCCACTGGCTCCAGGGCAGGGTGGCTTGACAGACGGGTACCAGACAAGAGAAACAGTCCATGGCAGGCAGAAGACAGTAAAAGGAAAAAGCAGCAAATGATGACAGCAGCCCTCTTTCTGTCTTATATTCCACCTAAACTATTAGGTTAGGTAGCAATCACACCAAGGGTGGGCCTTCCCATTATACACAACCAGAACTATGCTAATCCAATTGGTGGACTAATTTAGTAATCACACATCCTTAATCCCATCATCATACACTCTAGATCCAGCTGCCTCTGAAAAGCCCCCTCTCCCCAGTGACTGTATGAGGCTTTGGGAGAACATCTAGATACAGCCATAATAGCCTGTAACAGATTACTTATATTTTAATTAATTGCTAACTCATAAAGAAACAAACTCCATATTAAACAACTATTAAAACTCCATATTAAACAACTATTAAAACTGCATATTAAACAACTATTAGAACTCCATATTAAACAACTGTGAAAAATTTCCTTGAAATAAGGAGAAATTTCCCAACTACTTAGTATTTTGTATATTTCATCCAATACAATGGGACAAAAGTTGAAACACTGAATGACAAGTTGGGAAAAAAATCACATAGGTGTTTGAACTAGAATGTAAAAGACTTGTTGTACCCTAGTCTAACTTGATCTTTAATTTCCCTTATAAATCTTTCCACATAGGAAAGTAATCTTTTGTAGCATTCAGCTCAGAAGATACTGAAAATCTTCAGGGTATTTCTTCAGCTCTCTTACTGCATTCAAGGATAAACTTCACTACATTTGCTCCAAAGTAGAAATGGTTATGTATGAGGTGTACCCAATCCGTTCCCTTCCTCACGGTTGACGGTCAACCACAATCCCACTTTCCTCCTTTCCTCCCCTTACACTGGAAGAGATCATTTTTGTATTGATGTTAAGTTTCTGGGTGATGTTTAGGATCATTCTTTTAAGAATATAAAAGCTGAAAATAGTCATATCCAGTAACAGACACAGAAAAAATATGGACAAAGCAAGGATGGTTGTGGAAGGTGGAGAGGATGGAACAAAAGACAGAGACTGTTCTCCTATTCAAAGTCTTTCCTGGTTGCCATCAAAAAAATTACAACCCTTGTTACTATTCCCTCATAGCCTCATGTATTTATCTTTATCATATCAGTAGTTATAATTTTATTTACCCTCTATTAGGCTACAATTTCCCCAAAAGATATTCTTCATGTTAATATATTCATTATTTTATTTCTTAATTTTATGTACTTATCAAATCTTCACCATTCATCAAATACACTACTAAGCAATGGCAATATGATGATGAAAAACAAATTACCTTGTCATTCAATAGGACAGAAATAAAGAAACAATTAATCCATTGCTCATTGAGTAAATTCAAAATTGCCAGTGTAGTCAATGTAGAAGAAGTGAGCCAAAGAGCATAATACTGAGAGACGCTATCGTCTGGTGCAAGTACACCAAAACCCCCTGTGTTAAATTCTGATGATTCTGTTGGGAGGTGGGGCCTTTGAAGCTGAGGAGACCATGAGATTAGAGCCCTTGTGAATGAGGTAAACGCCTGTATAAAAGGGACTCCAGAGAGCTCCCTTCCTCCTTTGCCGTGTGAGAACACTGGTACAAGACATAATCTAAGAACCAGGCATCATTCCTCAGCCGACTTGAATCTACTGGTCCCTTGACCTCAGACTTCCCAATATCAGGAACTTTGAGAAACACATTTCTGCTCTTCATCCATCACACAATCTACGGCATTTTACTACGACAGCCCCTTAGTCACCCTTCTATTGCTGAGACAAAGCACTGAACACAGGACACTTAAAGGAAGAGAGGTTACTTCTCTCTCTTTTTTTTTTTGTTTTGGTACCAGGAATAGAACTCTTGACCTCAGTCTTGCCAGGCAAGTGCTTATGCCACTGAGCTACATCCCCGGCCCAAGAGAGGTTAATTTTGAGTCATGGTCTCAGTCCATGATCGGCCAGCTCCCATGCAGAAACAGTGTGGCAGAGATGCATAGTAGAGGGAAGCTGCTCGTGGTATGGTGGAGACAAAGCAGAGAGAGAGAAAGACAGAGCCAGGGGCAAGAATACATCCTTCCAGGTGACACTCCAGGGCCACAACTCCGATCAGGCCTCCTCTCCTAAAGGCATGTCATCACTACCTGGATCTGCAGATGACTACAACACTCCCATGATCAATTGCTTCCCTCCACATGCATGAGAATTTTCAGGACATTGTAGGTGCAAATCCTAACACAGCCTGAACAAGCTCAAAGAAAAAGGATACTAATGGAAATACATGACTCAGAAGTAAAAGATGTGAAATACGACATTAATGTAAAATTCAAAATGAGATTTTAATGAATGACTATGAGTTAATTGGAAACACATAATTGATTTAGAGATATTTATGGGTGCTAGCTTAATACTTTTCTATTTTCAATCACAAGCTGAAAATGACAGAAAAGTCTATGATTATCCTATGTTCTTAGTTGCAACATCAAATATGTTATATAAATCACATCATTAAATGTTATGAAAACATTTTTTGTTTGTTTGTTTGTTTTTCTGGTACCAGGAATCGAACTTATGACTTTGCACTTGCCAGGCAGGCGCTGTGCCGCTGAGCTAAATCCCCAGCCTCCTATAAAAACAATGACTAAACGTGATAATTCTGCTAGTGTTCTAAATGAACTGACCAATCTTGCCTTTGCAATTGAGCACTTATATTGAAATAATCACTAGTAGAACCACAGCATGACAACAATTCAGTAAAAAGTACTGCACGAATTAATTAAAAAACTGTATGTTTAAAATGAAAAAATACAATTACCTTAAACAGAGGGAGCTAAATAAAGCCAAACAGAACAGGCTTCTGACTCAGATGAACACGGAATTTGTCTCTGTTCCCGTCGAGGCTGACAGCTCCCATGAAGATCTGCAGCTCAGGCTCCTCTCGCATGTCTCCTTGGCTTCTACCCTTTGAGACCAATACACCTTTTAGCAAAGCAGACTCCACTTCTTCCAGCAGAGACTACAGAGAGGAATCACACTGAATCTCATCACTACCGACAACATATTAAATGATTTTTCGGCGAATGCGTACATATATAATGTCATCAACCTCTTCAAGAAGCATCTGACATTAGTCAGATGTAAAACATAAAGAAGTGGGAGCTTGCTGATGTGATGATATATTAATTTTATGTGTAAACTCAACATATACTGTGGGGTAGTGAGTGATGGAATGTCACTGCACATCTAATTAAGATGAAATGAGGCCTCTATATTAATTTGTCAGAGTAGTAGTTCCCCCTAAATAATTAGTCAACACTTCTTCAGAAAGTATAGGCATGCTGTGACATGGTGGATGTCAATATATAGGAAACAATCTCATTCACACTGTACTATATTCTGTGAGGTCTTTAAACCCAGTTGATGAGGAATTTGTTGATTTTCAGTTATTATGGCAAATAAAAGAAGCAGGTGCACACCTATCTCAGAAGCACTAGAATTCTCAG